CCATTCCCTAGGAAGACTCTCTAGTGTAGAGGCGGTGGTGAGCTCAGCACTAGCATACACCAATCCATTGCTCTCTGCTATTGATTGTAGATGTGATGTAACCATTTGAACATCAAAATGGAAAGCAGGCATTAAAACACTTCTGCTGTCTAGAAAAACAGCTAGGAGATGGCTTGAATCAGATCTTTTGTTTTGTGTGTGTGTGTTTGTGTGTGTGTGTGTGTGTGTGTGTTTTTGTAAGCCAGAGGCAGATATTGAATGTATTGAATGTCTTCTCAGCTCCTCTCCACCTTATTTTTTGAGAGTCTGTCTTTGAACCAGGCCTAGAGTGGCTGGCCAAGGAGCCCCAGTAAGCCGTATTTCTCTGCCTCTTCAGCCTTCGGTTCACAGAAGTGTCCTTCCACCCCTGGCTTCAGCATGAATGCTGGGGATCCAAACTCAAGTACTCTTGCACAGCTCTACCCACTGAGCTCTCTCTCTCCAGCCCTGGAACACTGTTTTTGTTTAAAAGAAGGGCATAAAGATTGTGGATATTCAGAATAGGGCATCTGACAGGGTCTCTAATGAGTGAATGACAGAAGCTTGTCAAACAAGGGCAATGACTGGCAATAGTTGTTGTCAAAGGTAAAATTCAAACCTTTCACTGAAAAGCAGAGTTTGTAAACTCACACCCACTGTAAGCATGCCTGACATCTTCTCTACCCATAACATATTCCTGACGGGAGAAGTAGAGATGTTAACAAATGTGATTTTCTCATAGGAAAAAAAAATCTATCAACATTTGGAAGATTGGTGTAATGCAATAACTAATGTATTCCAGAAAACTAATGCTATAGAATGATTTTTTTAGTAGAAGATCCATTAACAGTATAATACAGACAAGCAGATTTTAGTGCAATGGAGATTTTTAAATATGTCCTCATGCTTTTCTGAATGTCCTTGGGGTTTGATGTAATGTCTCTTTTTATCTCCAATTTTATTAATTTGCCCCCAACCCTTTTTCGTTAATTTGACTAGAGGCTTGTTAATCTTTTCAAAGAACCAACTCTTCATTTCATTGATTCTTTATTGGGTTTCTTTTTTTCTCACTTCTATTTAAGCCTCAGACAAGCAGATTTTAATGTAATGGAAAGGTTCCTATCAGTGTTGCATCTGACCTTTGAGAAACTGCCATTAGTGGGGTTTGGAAGACTCTCCACAGTTCTCTCAAATTACAGTATGGTTCATTACAATATGATTCCCTTCCAGCCTGTGTTTCTGACGTCGTTTTTCCCTGTCCTTTAACATCTTGCAGCAGAGTGCTTGCAGAAGCAGATATGGGGATTCAAGTGTCTTCTGTTGAGTAAACCATTGCTCTCTTCCCTGTTCTAGGTGCTTTGTTTTTTGTAAAGTCATTGTCATAAACTCATGTTGTATATGACATGTAGTGGGCTTATTATTGTTAATTAGAAATGAACAAATTGGTAAATGTTTAGCATTTTCTAATTTTCACTTACTACATGGTAACCATCCCAAGTTGTGACCTACATAAACCACAGCTGTTTGAAGCCATCATTTTTTATGCTGTGAGCAGATACCGAGGTGAAAGTTTGAGAACCATCCATCTCTGTATCTCTGTTCTGCAATATCATCAAACCATCCATGCATGACCTAGTTGGCCTCTTCTCTATGCTACTATTTCTGAAGTTTATATGCCTGCTGTTACAATCTATAATTATAATTAACATACTGTTCTTCCACTCCCTGAAGGGAAAAGCAGCTCTCCGTTTAGTATATAGTTTGAAAACAACAATGTTTTTTTCTTTTATAACTAACACCAACATTATAGCTAGAAATGAAACGTGTTTTCTAATATATTGCTGAATAATAGGACTTACTTTGTGGTTTGTGGTCACTGAAGGCTTAGAGGAACCTCAGCTCTAGTCTGGAAGTGGGGATGCAGAGACTCAGTGGGTCTCTTCTTTTTCTTTGTAAATTTATATTTATTCGACACATAGTTATTGTGCATATTCATAAAGTACAGTGTGGTATTGCCCTGCATATATGATATGCAATGATCTGTATATACTTATGTAATGTATAATTAGTAGCTCCATCTTCTCAAACATATGTCACTTCTCTGTGTTGAAAGTATTCAGAATCCTTTCATTTTGTGATTTTGAAATGCATAATAAATGCTTCTTGGCCACAGCTACCCTATTGTCCTGTCAAGACTCTGGAACTTGCTCCATTATTGATGTTTGTATCCATCTTCCTTCTCCCTGTTCTTCCAGCCCAGAAGGCACATTCTATTCTATTTTCTACTTCTACAAGACCAGGGTATTCAGTTTCCTCCTGTGAATGAGATGGTGTGCTATTTGTCTCCTGTGTCTGGCTTATTTCAGTCACCCTAATGTTGGGGTCTTCCCATTGGGACCTTATATGCTGCCTCAGTGCAGTTATTAGAATCTTTATGACCTTAGCAACCTGGGATTTCCTCCATGGTGGTCAACTGGGGCTCCTCTAGAGAATCCACTGCTGACTTATTCATTGAGTTCTGGGCTTTTCTGACCAACTTTATTATCAATTCCTGGTCACCTTGCTGAATTTGAAAACACTCACAAATGTAAACAGAAGGGATCTGGCATTGCATTGGGAGCCCTCAGTAAAGGGCAGCACAAAGATGATGCCCAGAGTATGTTCCTAATAACTTTTTTGAATCAGTCTCTCTAAAGTGCAAGCACAGCTTAATGGTGAAGGCGTCATTGCATGGCTCTGTATCCCTGGAGGAGCCTTTGTGCTGCAGTTTTCTGTAGCACTGCCCAGGTTCTGTTTCTCTTTGTCCACCTGGCTGGCAGTCCACCTCTGAGCCCCTCTTCCCCCAGTTACATTTTATTTATAGGTATGTAGCCAGAGAAGATCTGAGTTGCAGTTGTCTGTTCCAGGTTAACAGATTAACAGCCACTATTAAAGCTTGCTTTTGAGCTAGTTTGATTTTTATATTTGAACACTTGAAGTTGGGGAGGGAAACTGGTGTGCAGACCTTTTTAATAACTAGAAACCAACAACCCTAGCATTGATGTTACCCAAAGTAACATCCTGTAATTATTGAAAGTATTTTAGTCTTAAACATTTGGGGAATGATTTTGTTTCCTCCTGATATAGAACTTTTCTTATAAAAACAACATACATAATATATTTCTTATAATATTAGCACACATAGATCTTACATGTGTATTATGAATTTACACAGAAAGTGACTATATAGTTCTTATGAAAAGGGTTGTCTATAGCCTAAGCTGGCTTCAAACTCCCTATATAGCCAAGAATGACTTTGAACTTCTGATATTCCTGCCTCCTTCCTCCAAATTCTTGGATTACAGATACACCACCAACCTTGGTTTATGCAGAACTAAGATTTAAACCTAAGGCTTTCTCCATGCTAGGTAAGCACTTTACCAACAAAGCTACATCCCCAGCCATTATTTATTTTTTTAATTGCAAAGTATAAGTAATTATTGTTGTCATCAGTATTTACACTTATTTAAAAACCAGAAATCATCTTCTATAATTTTCATGTATGTGTTTCTCCTAGCAAGTGGAGATAACCATCACCAGTATTAAACTGAATGCTGAGTGTTTTTTCCCTTGAAAAACGTTGCTCAGGCTGTGTTGCTGTTACCAAGTTTTCATGGTATATCTGTGGTCTGTATGCTTCTCTGTTTGTGTGTTTTTGTTTTTAGTTGAGTTGGCAATGGTTTAAATGTATCCTTCAAGTAAACTGTCTGTCTTTAATGTCCTGGAGGATCTTGGTGTCTATATCATTGACGCATTTCCAAAATGCTTCTCTGAGAGTAAATGCTCAGCTCACTGCTCCTGGAAAAACTGTTGTGTTAGATAACTATTTTGATTTGTTTTCTAGTTTTCTCCTGTGCTGTGGTCCTATCTGTCAACATGTTCTCTGTGGTGCCAGTGAAGATGTTGGACTGAATTTGTTACTGATTGTGTTAAAATAGTTCTAGACAAATTCTAATTCTGTGTGAGTTGCTCAATAGTCTTCCCTGCAGTGCTTTATGTGTGTGAAAGTGCCTGCATGCTCACTAGCACACTCAAGATCAGTGTATTTACACACACACACACACATATACATATATGTTCGTATGTATATGTTAGGCATTAAAATACCTGACAAGAGCAACTTGAGGAAGGAAGGGGTGGTTTGTGTGCACAGTGTGAAGGTCCAGTCCATCATGGCAGGGAAGGCACAACAGGAGTGTGAGGCAGCTGGTTGCATTGCATCCACAGTCTGGAAGCAGAGAGATGAGTGCTGGTGCTCAGCTAGCTTTCTTTTTTTTATTTAGCCTGGGGAGTGGTGGTACCCACACTCGGGGGGGTCTTTTCCTCCTCATTTAAACCTCTCTGGAAACACCCTCATAGACATGCTCAGAGATATGTATTCAAGAAGAATCTAAACTAGTCAGGTTAACAACCACCTGAAAACTAACCACCATAGTCACCTTAATGAGAAGAATCAGTGGTATGCTCTGCCCTTTCTTCTAATACTTTTTTGAAGAAAAGAAGCATTTATTCCAGGGGATTCAATGCCCTCTTCTGCCCTCTTTGAGCATTAGTTCACACACAGCACACATACATATATGCAGGTGAAACATTCATACATATAAAACAAATAAATCTTTTAAGAAAAGTGTTACTTGGGCTGTCAAGATAGTTCAGTGGGTGAAGGTGTTTGTTGTCAAGGCTGAAGACCTGAGTTCAGTCCCCAGAACCCATGTGGTAAGAGGAGCGAACTGAATAACACAATGGTCTCCTGACTTGCTATGCATGCTATAGTATGTATACATACACCACACACACACAGACACACACAAATATTTTCAAATAAGAAAAATAAAAAGAATTACTCTGGTCATTGGCCTTTGGGTTGAATCACACCTCTCCTCACGGGGCTTTTGGGTGTCCTTGTCTGCTTTGTAAGCCCCATCCTCTCTTTGTGTGTGTAGATATGCCTCTTCATGTCCGCCGGAGCAGTGACCCAGCATTAACTGGCCTCTCCACGTCGGTCAGTGAGAATAACTTTTCATCTGAGGAGCCCTCCAGAAAAAACCCCACCCGTTGGTCCACGACAGCCGGCTTCCTCAAGCAGAACACCACTGGAAGTCCCAAGGCCTGCAATAGGAAGGTAACCACCCATTTGTCTCTGCAGCCCTTGGCATCTCCTATCTTCCGGTGGTAATTAAGGGTGACCACATGCCCCTTGGGCACCTGTGTGAGAGTTACTGATTTTCTCATCAACATGTGGAGAACCTGACCTATACTGTACTTGAATTTCCTGCTTGAATTCAGTGCTGTGCATAGAGTATGGTCATGTGTGGACCCATATTTTGAATTTATAGTATATCCATATGATTAAGAAAGCAAAGTTTTCTCTCTTCTCCCATCCCCTCCACTCTCTTCCCTCCATTCCTCCTCTCCCCTCCCTTCCCCACTGTTCCTCTTGCTGTCCCTCCCCCTTTTGTTTCCTAGTTCCAGGGATGAAAGCCAAGGCCTCCAACATGCCAGGTAGGGACTTCAACAGCCTCTGCAAGGAGAACTCAAACATGGAGCATTACCGTAGATAAAGTTACTTTCCTTTTTTCTCTCTCATTTCTCGTCATAGTAAATGTCTTCTTTTTGCTTTTTGCATGTCCTTATGGAGATATTTTATACACAAATAAGCAAATACCCATATAGGCTTAGGAGGTACATCAAAAGTTGCAGCGTGATGGGCTTTCAAGTATGAAAGTGTACTTCATATTCCTTTATTTTCCTTCATCAGTGATCCCATTTACCCTCGTAATAGAAGTGTTCTTTCTAGTCACAGTTCATCTTGCTTTTTTGACCTAAATTATTTTGCCCAAATAAATAAATGTGAGCCTATTAAAATTCTTATTGCCTAATGGCCTTTATCTCCTATAGAACTCCACCACCCTTTCTGCCACATCTCTGATCTCTTACATAATGGAGCTTTAAGCTGTGTTGTCATTTTCAGTGCTGTAGCTGAAGTATCAGTAAATATCTCTTAAATAAGTTATGAACATTTTTCATTACAGCATAGCTTTGCACAGTATGGAATAAGAAATGTGGCCATGCTACCACATGGTGAGAATCATAGAATGGACGTGGCTTCAGATTTGTTTGACCTATCCTTCATAGCTGTGTACAAGTCCTTTGTGAAATTCCTTGTAATTCTGTTTTGCATTTCAACAGACTGCTGTATTTTAGTTCAAGGGAAACCAAAAGCCACGTGTGGGATATATAAATGTGAAATGACCAAAATCAGGCTAGAGATATAGCTCAGTGGTAGAACACTTACTAAGGATATATAAGGTCCTGGCTTCAGTCCCCAGCACTGAAAAATAATAAGATAATGCAGTAAAGATTGAGAAGAGTCTTAAAGGGTGCAGAAGTAGAAAGGGGATAGTTTGAGGTTGTTACCTACTGATTTAGCATAGATTCTACAGGTTCTGCTTTCTTATTGAGGCCAGCGTGAGCCATTGAGGGCTTTACTATGTGGTGAATTGCATGTTGAGTAAAATGTAGTAAAAACTCCCTCTGTTGGTGTGCTGGATAGCTTTAGTTGTCAACTTGACACACCTGGGTTGAGGGAGCCTCGGTTGGGGAATTGCCTCCATTGGACTGGCCTGTGGCCATGTCTGCAGCTATTCTCTTGATTTTTGAGTGCTATGGGAGGGCCCAGCCTACTGTGGGCAGGTGAGCCTATATTGTATAAGAAAGTAGGATGGCCAGTCATGGTGGTGCATGCCTTTAATCCCAGCCCTTGAGGGCCAGGAGCAGAGGATCTCTGTGAGTTACTGGCTAGGCTGATTTACATAGCAAATTCCAGGGCAGCTGGCGGGGGCTACACAAAGACCCTTTTTCAAAAAGACGCCCCCCCCCCAAAGACTGAGCATGGGCCAGTAAGCAGGGTCCCTCCATGGCCTGAGCTTCAGCTCTGTTCCTGCCCTGAGTCCCTTCCTTGGGCTCCCTGATGAATTGACACCAGTTGGCATTGGTGTCATCGGCTTTCTCTTTTTTGTTTCTCAGAGAGAGGATTTGTTTGGGCTTCTTATTTTTTGGTGGTTTGCTAACCATGCTCAGTGTCATCTTGAGACCACCCAATGCATGCACCCACTTCGAGGAGGTTCTTTCTAACTTAGCCTCTGACATCTCTTTTCCTTCTGTAAGAAATGGGAGCTCTTTCTCCTAACTCGAGAATTGTCTGAGTGTGTGTGTTTGTGTGCGTGCGTGAGTGTATTAGTTTATGCATGTGGAAACCTATGAACTTGTGTGCATGTAGACAGGAGAGGTCAGCCTGGGTATCTTCCTCAACTCTTCATCTTATTTTTTGAGAGACACTCTCGCTGGAACTGGACCTGCTTCGGCCAAGCGGACTGACCAGTAAGCTGTAGGGATCCACCTGCTTCTGCTTCCCCAACATGAGGGTTACAGGAGCAGGCTGCTTCAGCTGGCTTTTTATGTGGGGCCTGAGGATTCAGACTTAGGCTCTTACTTTACTGACTGATGCTCAGGATGAAATCCAGGGCCTCATACATGCTAAGTTAATGCTTGAACCCTGAGTTGTACTCTCAGCCTAAAATATAATTTTTAAAATATTTCATTTTTTATTTTATGTGTGAGGTTTTTGCCTGCATGAATCTAAGTGAACCACATGCATGCAGTCCCTACAGAAGCCAGAAGAGGGCATTAGATTCTCATTAGAACTGAGTTATAGATGGTTGTTAGCCACCATGTGGGTGCTGGGGACTGAACCTGGGTATTCTGGAAAAACAAAGAGTGCTCTAACTGCTGAGCCATCTCTCCAGCTCCAGGAAAATAATTTTTATAAACATTTCTTGTGGCACATGATAGACCCTGTTTGGGACGGGGGAGGCTATTGCTGTTTAAAACCCTCATAGTACATTTTTGGCATTTCAATTCTATGATAATACTACTCTAATTTTTATTTGCCAAGTAATGAAAGTGAAGCAAGTCCTTTGAAATCAAGAAGTGTAGTGCTGGCACAGAGCTGGAGTCTATATCCATGTCAGCAGCGGCTGTCCTCATTACAGTGGATCGCTCAACTTCTAGCAACCTTTCCTAATGTCTATGGCATTGAAATAACTTTTCTGTCTCATAAATATTAGTACTTGCAAGATATTGTTTCTTTGCAAAAAATACCTATTATTATTTTATGAGTGTTTTGCTTACATGTATGCAAGTACACCACATGCATGCGGTGCCCACAGAGGTCAGAAGAGGATGTTGGATCCCCTGGAACTAGAGTTACGGATGGTTGTTAGTTGCCATATGGGTGCTGGGAATTGAACTTGGGTCCTCCAGAAAAACAGCAAGTGTTCTCAACCACTGTGCCATCTCTCCAGCCCCCAGAATATTCTTTTTTGTACTGAACTTTTTAGAATTGGTGCTTATTAACTTTATTTGGTAGGCATTCCATGTTTGACACTCATATTTTGCCAATATTGTTTGCTCTTATGAATAACTTTTAGAACTATTTTTCAGAAATATTCCTGTGTGTCAGTTCATGTTGCTATCTCTATTGTCTTTAACTAGATTCCTTGGCTAGACTTAATTTATAAGGAGATCAACAGTTTTAAAGTCATTATTGTCACAAATAGAAAGCGTAAAGTCCTTACACATAGCAGTGTGAGAAGGACTAGGTAGACTGGAGGTGGTCCCAAGGGATGTGGACATGAAACAGAAGAAAAGGGAAGTGTGTTTCCTGGTTCAGACTCTACCATTTTGCTGAATAGCTCAATGGCTGTATTTGAGTGTGCATTAGAATTAATTGTGGACTTAACACAGTTGAGAGGGAGAGAGAGAGAGAAAGAACATGAATATACGAATATGAGGCTCTACAGCTACTCTGTCTACTCCAGAACTCCATCTTTTCTGGAAGGCTCTAAAGTCTAATGGCAATGTTTATACTTCCTGGTTTAAAGTGTATATGGGCATAGGTAGGTATACACTTGCCACCCTAGCACTAGGGAAGTTGGGGCTGAGGCTGAGCAATGTCCAGTCCAGCCTGTGCTGCACATTGTGATGCTGTCTCAGAAAACAGAGAGTAAGGAGGAGAGGGAAGAGGCACATGCAGTGTCATGGTCATTCCGAAACACCTGTCTCTGAGTGTCCCCCACCTCTAAATCATAGCACAATGGAATTTGAAGCATGTATTTGGTTTTGTGACATTTAACTTCTTTTCATATTTGAATTGCACAAATTAATCATTTTCAAATGAAAATCAATTAAAATTGACTAATTTTGAATTTTTAAAAAGCTGTCCTATAACTCATTGAAATATTGGCTCTTCCTGCACAGGTGAAGCTACAACTAGAAGTATGTTTGTGTGCAGAGTGTGGGTGTGCCTCCTGGCCTCTGTGCACCCCACGTTACTAGCCCCAGTACATCTGAGTGTAGGGGGCCCAGATGGCCAGCTCCCAGTTTCATAGATGAGGTCACTGTGGCTAGTTATAACTTAACACCATAATATGCCTACTCTGGATTTTCAAGAGTGAGAAATGTTTACAGTTGACATACACACAGTACATTAATCACTAGTACTGATCAGCCCTCCTATACACTGCTCTAAAAGACTTCATGCTTATTTTCTTTCTTTTTTAAATTTTATAGATTTTGTAAAATTTGTGTATGCGCGCGCACGTGTGTGCGTGTGCGTGTGTGTGTGTGTGTGTGTGTGTATGCCACATGAATACACTTGTTTGTGGAGGGCAGAAGGGGGTATTAGATGCCCAGTGTGGATACTGGGAACTCAATTCAGGTCCTCTTTAAAAGCAGAAAGTACTCTTAACTACTGAGCTGTCTCTCTAGCCCCTCTGCTTAATTCTTTATTCTTCTATTTATTATGAAGTGATATTTTACACTAACCTTTACTCCATACCCTACCCCATTTCAAAATTCTTTGACCTCCTGGTCTCTGTTGTCCTAATTTATTCTTTCTGTGGTATAAGAATAGATGTTTTATTTAAACTAGAGGCTGACTTGCTGGGCGTGGTAGTGCATTCCTTTAATTCCAGCACTCAGGAGGCAGAGGCAGGCAGATCTTGAGTTTGAGGCCAGCCTGGTCTGCATAGTGAGTTCCAGGCCAGTTGGGGCTATAGGGAG